AGTAAGAAATGCTATCTCAGGGCCTTCCTTGGTGTCATGGGTTAAAGCACAGCACTAAGAAGCTTAAGCCACTTCCGTATGAGTTCGATCCCCGCCTGCCCCGGAGGAGACAGACCCCTCCTGACATGCCCGCTGCTTCCCTCAGCAGTGTACTTCGTCGATCTGCCTGTTCTGCCCCCCACTCTGTCTCTGGTGAATCTTCTCACCCTCCTCATCTATGGCCTGTACCCCAATTCTGTATGAATAAATAAATAAATCTTTTTAAAAAAAGAAAAGAAATGCTGTCTGGAACAGCAGCTACAATTAGAGTCAGCACCCAATTGGTTTACAGTATATACACTGTTCTCCAAGTCATATCTATGCAGGCCAAACAGAGTGGAAGGAGAGTATTGTGAACCAACTCCCCTGCATCTTCGAAGTCCTCAGTGGTGGTACCAATTTCAGAAATGCTCACAAGAATCTGGTATTACTTTCTGTAAGGAGTGGATGTTCCAGGGGTTTCCACTTCCTTTCCCTACCAACTAGCCCTTTCTCCAAAGAATCCTACCAGCTGCTGAGTTTCAAAAATAAGAAAAATGAGGTGCATACAGGATAAGCAGTTTGCTTTGCTGAATTTTAAAATACAGAATAAGTGGTATGAGATGTGGCAGGTGTTTCAACAAAAAAGTATACAAGAAAGCTCCTAGCAGGAGCTTTCAATTCACAGCAACCAAAAGGTAGAAACTACCCAAATGTCTCTCAACTTATGAATGGTAAATAAAGTGCACTGCAGCCATAAAGTGTAATATGTAACCATAAAAAGTGAATGAAGCACTGCTATATGCTGCAACATGAATCACCCTTGAAGCGTAGTGAGTGAACAAAACAATCACAAAATTTACATAGTTTCATATGAACTCCTTAGGGATCTGGATATTTGCCTGTGTATAGATAGAAAATCTATGAAAGGCAGAAAGCAGACTAGCAGTTACAAGGGAAAATAGAAATGGAATGATTGCTATAGGTATGGAGTCTCCAATCTCCCATGGGGTAATGAAAATATTCTGAAACTAGGTATAGGTAATCATTGCACAACACTGTGATTATATTAAATACCCCTAATTTTTAAAACAGTACCTTTTATGTATATTTTACCACAATAAATACGTACACTCAAAAATGAAAGCCATTTAAGATTTTGAATAGTGTATGCCACAAAAGATGAAGACAGCTCTCAAAGAAGCTTTCCCAACATGCTTAGGTACTGATGAGAATAATGAAATCATTGGCTATTGATTGGTCATAAAGAGGAGGGCAGTGAACCTTCCTGTTTGAGCACAAGGTCAGCAGACACAGCTGCAGCTCAGGCTTCTCTTCCTGTCCTGCCGATGAATACATCCTGTGAGGCCCATTTGTTTCCTGCCTAGTCTAGGCTCTAGTTGTCACACTGCCCACCCCCTTCCCCCCCAACTGTGATTTCTCTTCAGTCCTGTTTTGCACTTTGATGTTACTGCATCGGTGGTCACTATATTCCATGATAGTCAACTTTTTTTTTTTTTTTTTTTTTTTTGGGATACAGGCCCATTCTGGCCCTATCTAACTTTGTTCTTATGAATGCAAAAGCAGAGGACTTGAATATTCATACAATGTTGAATAACTATTTGGACATTATAGCACTTTTGAATTGTACACTTTATATGTTTTTATCTATTTAGGGGTGTGCCTTTCTTCCTTCTCAACCCCATTATTATTATATTTCGCAGTGGCAACTGGTGGAAGGGCAAGCAAGTGCCCCTCATGCCAGTCCTTCAGGAAAGGCCTATGTTGGCTGGAACTGGGGGTGTGAGAAGGTTGATTTGTTTTCTTCGGGGTTTTACCACTTCTTTCACATGCTATGGCCTAGGCACCTACCCAGGAAATAAGTCAGGTACTTAGAGCAACCATAGTGCAGTGTCTTAAAGCCACACTTCAATTTTGGGTGCTCTTAAAAGAAAATTTGTGCCATAGAAAATTGAAGTTGGGGCCCTCCTGATGGCACAGCAGGTTAAAGCACAGCACTATGAAGCTAGCCACAGCCACTACAGTACAAGTTCAATCCCCAGCCTGGGGGTTGACCCATATGGCGCAACAGACCTCTCCTGACCTGCCGCTGCTCCCCTCAGTGTGTTTCAGTCCATCTGCCTGTTCTGCTCCTCACTCTGTCTCAGGTGAATCCTCTCACCACCCTGCACCTCTGGCCTGTATCCCAATTCTGTATGCATAAATAAATAAATCTTTGAGTGAGAGAGAGAGAAAATAAATTACAATTATAGGGCCCTCCCTGGTGGCACAATGGTTGACGCGCAGCTGTATGAGGCTGTCTACAGCCATTACAGGGCAAGTTTGCGAATGTGGCACAGCAGACCTCTCCTGTCCCTCCCACTGCTCCCCTCAGTAGTGTTTCAGTCAGTCTGCCTGTTCTGTTCCCCACTGTCTCTAGTGAATCCTTTGACCTCCCATGCCTGTGGCCTGTACCCCAGTTCTTGTATGCATGCATACATAAATCTTTTAAAAAGAAAATTGCAATTGTATTTTGGTCATAGTTTTTTTATTGGAGACTCTTACCAGAACCTTGATTCTTTTTTAAAAACCCATTTTTATTGATTTGCTTTTCAATAAACTTAAATCCTTGAAGGATACCGTATCACACAGTTCTGTGACCAATGGCCTTAACAGAAATGTTGCTTCAGAATTTTGCTCAAGCCATGGCATCATTTCCATGGGCATGGGTTACCTTCCCCCAGATAGTTAACTGGCTTTATTTGGTTTGCCACCAGGATTCACGATGTTGTTCTTTGCCTTGCACATGTAAGCGCATCTCTTGGAATTCAATTTCATCTAGAGCATAAACACCTCCAGTTTTTAAAAGAACTGGATGCTCCCTTTGGTTCTAGAGATCCCACTAATTGCCAGCAAAAATGGGCTTGCACCTTCCAGCCACATTTTAGATGTTCCCAGCAGGCTTTAAAAGTATTTGCCCCCAAAAGTTCAACAGCAGCAAAACCTTCGGTTCTTAGGATGGGGCCTTGAGAAAATGATGAGTAAATGAAATCCCAAACATATGTATTATATTATGAAGTTGACAATATTAAATTTGCTTTACTTAAGCTTTGTCGTCTCTACAATGTTTTCTATTCAGCAAAGCTTAAAATTCATTTCTTTTGTAACTTGAAACTGGATTTAAGTTATTTTCCATCCAAATTATCTGCTGCCTCACTTGGAGCCATTCAAAAAGTAGATTTAGTGAATAGCAACCAATTTTTTTCCTGTTTTTAAACTCAGTCTGTCTTCTAAGGACATACTACAGCAGTCCTAAATATCAGTGATTAAAAACACTTGCCTGCCCCAGACTCACCTGGCTGCTGTTAGCTGAAAAACTAGAAGCAGTGGAAGGAAGGAGGCTGTGTTTTCTCAGCCTTTGGGGAAGTGTGCAAAGAACTCACCCCCAGACTATGGCACTCCTTGCAGTAAAGTATTTCCCTGGTCACTACTTTGAGTCCTACTGGGAAGGGAAGAAAGGTTCTCAGAGTAATGGGATCAGGCCAGTTTCAGGGCCATTGGACTCCTTCATATAAGCTGAGTAGCAGCACAGCCTCTGCCTTCAAGGCACCCAATTTTGTTAGTGAAGACAGATAAATAATTATAGGCCAAGGTGATGGGTGTTTAGACTCATGAACAGAGTACCAAAGAAGTAACTAATCGGTGCAACTCTTTTTTTTTTTTTATTGATTGATTTATGCATACAAAAACTGAGGTACAGGCCAGAATGCAGAGGGTGAGAGGATTCACCAGAGACAGAGTAGGGAACAGAACAGGCCACTGAAGAAGTACACTGCTGAGGGGAGCAGTGGGACAGTCGGGAGAGGTCTGCCCTGCCATGTGGATCAACTCCCTGCAGTGGCTGCTGATCACTTCATGATGCTGTGTTTTAACTCCTTGTACCACTAGGGAGGCCTCCATCGTGTGCATCAGGTCTATGACTTGTCATTTTGACTGTAGTCATCTACCCCTCCCTCTCAGTTAAGATCATTCTAAAAACAAGTAAGCTCACAGCGAGCTTCCCACTTATCAGGAACTGAGTCATATGTATGCCTGTCCCCTAGCTGTAGGGGAGTCTGGAATGTAGGATTCTAACATGGAGTGGACTCTGCCACTTCTGTCATGGGACATGAGCTCTGTCAACAGAACTCATAGACTGACATTGGATCATCCCCAACCATGCTTGTCCTGCTCCCATGCCACTATTTAAAAGTCTAAGATGTGTCTGTAACTAAAGTTGAGGCTTAACAGCTATCCATTATCCAACTTTATTATATAAAGCCTGGTATTTAGTAAGACTGAGTTTTTTTTTTCTTTCCTTTGTAAACATACAAGCCCTCCTGTAACAAATAAAGCAATCATTTACTGATGCTAGATATTGCATGTTGTACCAAGTTGCTTTATGTGTGTGATGCTCAAAACAAATTAGGTTTTCCCAATTTTTTTTTTAAGATTTATTTATTTATGCTTACAGAACTGGGGTATAGACCAGAGGTGTGGGGGGTGGGTGAGAAGATTCACCAGAGACAGAATGGGGAGCAGAACAGGCAGATTGACAAGGTACAATGCTGAGGGTAGCGGCAGGCCGGTCAGGAGAGATCTGCTGCGCCATGTAGGTCAGTCCCCTGGCTGGGGATTAAACTGGTTCTGTAGTGGCCTCAAACAGCTTCATAATGCAGTGCTTTAACTCACTATGCCACCAGGGAGAGCCCGTTTTTTCCCAATTTAAAACTAAGGAAATTGTCTCCAAGAAGTTGAGTAAATTACACAACTGATATACTAAGCCCAGCTCTCAGACTCCAAAACACAGTCTTCTTTTACTCTTTGTCACCAAAGTATCATATATGGGGAAAAAAATAAGTATTCAGTGGCTATAACTTTCCTGCTCAGTGCTTTCCTGCTCCGCTTCCAGGCCATCTCCAATCATGTTTTCTTTTCTTCAGTGAGGAAAAAATGACTGCTGCCCGTATTAGGAAGTGCCACAAGTGTGGGACTGGCCTCATCAAATCTGAAGGCTGCAATCGAATGTCCTGCCGCTGTGGTGCCCAAATGTGCTACCTCTGCCGAGTGTCTATCAATGGATATGACCATTTCTGCCAGCACCCTCGCTCTCCAGGAGCCCCATGCCAAGAATGCTCAAGATGCTCTCTTTGGACCGACCCCACTGTAAGTGAATGTGTCACTTCCTGCTACTTAGTAGACTGAAAATATAAATAAGATAGTATAATGAACAGATTTTACATGTACATGACAAATTTCGACTCATGAAAAAGAAATTACACAGACTGAAAACCACAGAAAAAAAATTAAGAAAGTATTAAATAAATCTACTACTCAGAAAGTAGCATGCCCAGTTTATGAGCAAAGCCTTTCAGTCCTTTAGGGAATAAAGTTTGTCTATGCTGTATGAAATATTCCAGGTCATAGAAAAGAAAGGTTTGTGTATATTTGTATAAAGTCAATAATACTCATATCAATATATATACAAAAGCATTCCCATTAAGTCAAATATAAGACTGTCATACTGTTTTATGCTGGAACTACTAATCAGTATAATTAACTAAGAGAATAAAATAGGCATAGATATTAGAGAAGATAATTGTTAATGTTTATTAGGCACCTACTGTTTGTCAGACACTTTCCTAAACACTTTTATATGTAATGAAGGACATATTTACCATTTTAAACCTGAGAAAGGGCAAAATAATGAACTCAAAAGCTATTAGAAACAGTGGGAATATGGCTAGATGGAAAATTAAGAGTGCCATTCACAGTAGTAATATAAATCATAAAATACCCTAGAAATTAACAAGAAATATGAAGCTCCTTGAACATGAGGAATACGCTTTGTTCTTAAGTAATTTTAAAATTTAAAATTATCAGTCTGTTATAAGTTGTTTTGTAAGAGTAGCTATGTGATATGTGGGAAGACTTGTTCTACCAAAAAGTGAACCCACTAGCTTGAAACCAGTGAAAAGCCTGGAGGAGGCAAATGAGAGGCTATATCAGCTCCCAAAGATTATTTCCAGATGAGACTGTTTTCAGAGTTACCATGAGTTCAGATTTTCTAGGGAATCTGGAAATCCTTATTTCTGTATGAAATCTCTTGATATTTAAAAGCTGGCCATTGACCCCATTATCTTTGTAAGCCAGGGAGGTCTCATCAGCCACCAGTCTTTACCTCAGTGTAGGTCATCTCCTCTATGCCCTACAAGATCTCCTCTATGCCCTACAAGAGGTGTCAGGATAACAGAAAGTCACTGTGTGAAAGCCACAGCAGACCATGCTGGTGGCCTGATCCTAATCCTCAGCTACTGTTTTGAAACTGAACAAACCAGTGGGTCCTCTGTGGAAACCAGGTGTCTGCATGTTAGGCACAGCCTCCTCAATGTTGGGGAATTGGGCTAAAAGGCCTCAGGAATTGCACGTATTCCACTGCTCCATGACCCTGAACAAGCCTACCCTCTCATCTCTGGAAAACATGAAAGAAAGGGGAGACTGTAAACAATTGCCTTTCTGTGACCATGAGGAGTTAAGTGTGGTGCTCAGTGGGCAGTGAGCGACAAGGATGAGGCTTCATCCGCCTTTGTTGAAAACTTTCCTGCTAATTCACTTCCTTAGGCCCCTCTGAGTAGCATACTGAGGTTCTAAGCATCTCTGGGCACTTCATGAGGAAGAATAATCTGTGGCCAGCCTAGAAGTCTTCCTCAGCTGGCTGTGCTCTGTCTAGAAACAGAGAACACAGTGGTAGCTCCCCCAGCAGGGGTGCGCCCTTTCTCAGTGCTGTTTTTCTTTCCACTCCCTTACTCTTGTTCCTTCTCTGCCATCTCCCTTTTCTTCCCACTGTGGAATTGATTCTAAAGGTTTCTTATGTTCTGTTACTTGGTTGGGGTGCTGTCACATGTGACTTGTTTTCTTGTTGAATTGTCATCTTCTACCCTGAGAAAGGTTCTGTATTTGCTCAAAAAGAAAAATGTCTGAAAGGAAGGTCAGACAAATACAAATCCCTCCAATTTCCTCTGGTAACCACAGCCAGAGATTTTGTTCCATTTGTCCTGTTCCCATCAAAACTGGGATCAGCCTGGTTTCCTTGATTCTCACCAGGAGACTGATTGAATTCCAACCCAGCATCTGTTGGGGCTCCTGAGAACACAAAGCCATTCAAAAGTTCAGAGAAACAAAGCATGCCCTGTCATCCAAGGCTGTTCTCTAGCTTAATTAACCAGCAAGGCCAAGAAGATTCTCTTATTTGTCAGCGAGGGAGTTGCCCCTGTGGGATTTGGAGAGGCATTGCCTTTTCATCTTAATGACTAGAAATTGCTTGGGAACCCAAACTAACTTCATATTAGAGAGCTAGAATGGTGACCAGCAACTTTTTGTTAGCTATTAATAATAAGCCAGAAACATTCAGTCAAGAGTCTTATAAAATGCCTTTTTAGGAAAAGGGGGAAAATACAAAAATAAATGCAGTCAGTCATAGCAAAAGAGTTTTCTGCTTTAGGATACGAAATGCAAAGCCAAGCCTGGATATAGGAGTGAACAAACATTATTTTGCAGTGGGAGAAGCGCTATCCCAGGACTTTACTGGATCCATATGTGCTGACTCTGTCCTCATGTGGCTGCATGTGTGGTAGCTAAGGGTTAATGTGTTATAGCTCACATTAGCACATCCAGAACAGTCTGCCTGCCAGCATGGGTTCTAGAAGTTTGACAGAACTCGTAACTGTTTTGCCTTTAAATGCTTGACAAAATTGGTACTTACCTTGGGCTTTAGCTACAAGAAATTGCAGAGAATTATTTTCTGCAACTTTTGAGGCATGTTCACTTCAAATAAAGAGCAAGGCTTTTACAATCAGTTTAGTTTGGCACCATTATCGCCTAGCCATTTGGTTAGGAAACTGGTTTTTTCTCAAGTATGAATGGATTGGACCCTGATAGCATATGTGTGAATATATTTCATTCTGTAACGGCTCCCTTGCAGCAGGTGTATCAGCAGAGTATCAAATGGTTGTGATCCCTGATGACTGTGGGCAGTAAATGGTGCAGAACGCCCATCCAGGTCATTTGTTCTCCCAGCCGCTACACAAATCCACCCGCCAGCCAAGCCCTCAGTGGCTCCTGTACCACCCAGGCCAGAGCTGGGTGTAGCATCTTCCTAATGATTGAGGCATGCAGAGGGCATGAGCACCTTGAGGAACTTGTTTGCATAGCCAGGGAAAGGATGAAATGTAGGAGTGAAGGGGGGAGAAGATTGTTTTAGAAAGGACTTAAAAAGAGGAAACCCCAGAGAAATGATCTTCCAAACTTAGGTTAGTAACTAATTTTTGTCTTCAACATTTTTACTTAACTTTTTAAATTTACCTTTTGCAAAAGGAAGATAGTAAAGTGAACCCTGTGTTGCCCATCACCCATCACCCAGCCTCCACAGATGGCCTCAGCTTTTTCTTTTTAGTCACCATTTTAAATTCCCCGGTTTCTGTTAGTGTGGGGTGGGGACTACTCTACCATGATGTAGATGAGAAGACAAGACTCAGGCCACTTGGTGAAGCCATGGTACAAGCCCAGGTCTTGGACCAGATGTCAGCCCTTCCATTCCACAAGGCTCCCCACCTTGGAGCAAGCACAAATGCAAGAGTCCACAGTGAGTACCCACAAGTCCCTGAGCCCAGGGAGCCAGCTACGCCTCCACAGAGACAGAGGGCTGGGTCCCCTTGCGGGTCTCCTTCCCCTTTGAGTGAGTTGTAGAAGATCGAACACTCCAGGGCCTCAGCACCTCAACAGTGTCCCCAGTCAGGTCTGGATGTCACTAGAGGACTGACGGGGGGCGGCCACATGCCTCAGTCCAGCATTGTGCTTGTTGGCTTCTGTCATCATCAGGCAACTCCAACTGAGCACTTGAGGCTGACAAGAACCAAAACATGGCCGCGTTCCCCACCATCTCCAGGTCCCTGTCTGGAGGGAGCTCCAGACAAAAAGGTGTTCAAGGCTGGGCCCTTTTAGCCCGAGGAGACAGCGGCAGTGGCGCCAAGAGACTGTCTCGCTTTGCTCTTTCCAGCGTGTTGTCCAGATCCCAGCTGCACAGCATGTGCCACTCCAGGCTGCACTGCACTCTCTGTCAGCTTCCTCCCCCAGTTTCCTGTTGCAGGGGGACAGCTGGGGGTGGGGGTTAGGATCTGGTGTTGCTCGTTGGTCTGCAGCTGGTCTGGGAATAATTTGAAACTAAATCCTCAGCTCTTTGGAAGCCGTTTATGAAATCATTGCAAGTTTATTAACAACAGCTGTGACCACACATGACCTGGATCCCAGCCCCAACCCCACCCCCAGAATCACAGGAGGGAAGCAGCAGTTGACTTACGATTCCTGGTCACCTTTTTAAGGGGAGCAAAAGCTAAATGGAGAGGAAAAGTCCCCTCCCTTCCTCCCTGTCACAGGAGGCTGGACATCAGGTGAGCGGGGAGCCAGTCCTGGTAATCAACCACATGTTAAAAACAGACTCAAAGGCTTTTAAAAGCTCTGGCAGCAACAACCTTGCAAGTGTGCTCAAACAGCTATTTCAGGAACCTTTAGCCTCTGGCTAGCTTTTTTCTTTTCCTTCATTTTTTCCTGTCCAGATTGTACTATGTGGACAGAGCTACACTTCATTGTTGGGAACAAGTTAAGGAGTTGGGTTTTTGTTGCTTTTCTTCTCATAAACCTCTCTAGTGAATTCTCCCTCATTTCCTGTGGCAACTGCTGTGCTGAGTCAGTGTTTTAGCGAGGCTGGGCCCTGCCATCCTCCTCATGCTCTTGCCATGCCTTACTTCCCATCCACCCCCATGTGCAGCAAGCGTGTCAGAGTCTTCCAGCACTTTCTGTAGCTTGCTGAGCTCAAAGGAATTCAAGGAAAGGAAATAAAACCTCCCCTATTAAGATGCAACCCGCACGCCTCTATTTAAAGCATTCTTCCAGATCTGCTGGGTGGTGAAACTTCACATTCTGCTTTAGTCCTTTGTCCTTAGCACAGCATTTGGGGTGCACTGACTCTCTGTGGCTGTTACACACATTGCTCTCATGGGTCTCCCAAAATTTGGTTGTGGTCCATGGGTCCCCCTCCCAGAGATCTGTGAGAAACAAGTGCTGGTAGTTTGCTTCCACTCCAGCCTCTCTGCCATTACACTCAGTCTTTT